TTACCTTGAGAAAATCGAGTTGTGGTTTAAACTCAAGAAGACTTTGATGGTAGTCATAGTGTCTGTGTAATCAAGTTTTGATTAGTGGATTAAGACCTCGTTTGAGAGAGGCGAAATAACCTTGGACGGTGGAATGGAGTAGTTTGAGTTTAAACGAACCAGGATAACCAACATGTCTACTGTTTCATATTTTAGAACCCCAATTCAACCCCCTTCTTGTGTTTTTCCATTCTTCAATTGGTATCTGAGTGCCTGGTTCTGGGTGCAAACACTTAACCGTGTCAGAAAAAGATCCTAGCAAGAAAAACACTATGGTGGAACCAATTTAGAACGACAATGATGATAAAGACAGAATCAGCGGCAGACCCCCAATATTTGACAGTGAAAATTTTGATTACTGGAAAGACATAATCGAAAGTTTCTTTCTAACACATGATGCTGATCTTTGGGATATGGTGACTGATGGCTACATTCACCCTAGTGATGAAAATGATCAGAAGATCGTTATAAATGAAATGTCATATCAACAAAAGAAATATTTCATAAATGATCACAAATCCAGAACAATATTGTTGAGTGTTATCTCATATAGTGAGTATGAGAAGATCACAAACAGAGATTCTGCTAAAAACATGTTTGACTCTCTGAGAATGACGCACGAAGGTAACATACAAGTCAAAGAGACCAAAGCTCTTGCACTCATCCAGAAGTACAAAGCCTTCAAAATGGAAGAAGAAGAAACTATAGAGACATTGTTCTCAAGGTTTCAAACTCTAGTTGCTGTATTGAAAGTTCTGGATAACGGGTACTCCACAACATACCATGTAAAGAAAATCATCAGAAGCTTACCCAAGAAATGGAGACCCATGGTCACAACCTTAAAGCTTGCCAAAGATCAAAACAATATATCTCTTGAAGAACTTATTAGCTCATTGAGAAGTCATGAGATAGAACTTGAAGAAGATGAGCCCTAGAAGCAAGGTAAGTCTCTCGCTCTTAAATCTAATAAAAAATATAAACCTAAAGTTTTTCAGGAAAAAGAAGAAAACTATGGTGGATCCTCGTCAGAAGAAGACAAACTATCTCTTCTCTCCAGAAGAGTCAATCAACTACGGAAGCACATACAGAGGAAGTTTAGAAAACCCAGAAGAACATGAGATCACTCTGAAACATCTTATGGATACAGAAAATCTACCAACAAAGACATTGTATGCTACGAATGTAACAAACCAGGTCACTACAAAAGCGACTACCCAAATATACAGAAATAAATGCCTAAAAAGAAGTTCTCCAAAGATAAGAAGAAAAGTATTATGGAAACATGGGATGACTCAGAATCTTCTGAAGTTGAAATAGAATCAGAAGATGAACGAGCCAATATAGCCTTAATGGCCAACTTATCAGATGACTCTAGATCATCTGAATCAGAATCAAACTCAGAGGTAGAATATGTATTCTCTAACTTTTCTAGATCTCAATTAGAAGATAGTCTGTCATAAATTCTTGAAAGATATCAGCAACTTCGAGTCAAAAACAAGAACCTGAAATAGAATCTAGTATTTGACTCTGAAGATACTAAGAAACTAAAAATAGAAAACTCTAAGCTAAAAGAAACCATTTCTAAACTTGAAAATGAAAATTAAGTTATCAAAAATGAATTACAAAAAGTTCAAAAAGAAACTGTTTCAGAAGTTTCTAATAGTTCTAATAGAATCATAAAAGAATATGATCATAGCTTTCAAAAATTTCTAGCTAAAAACATAGATGGGAGAAAGATGGCTTTAATGATATATGGAGATAGCAGAAATGACAGAAAAGGAATAGGATATGTGAAACCAAGAGGAGAAGAAACATCTCAACCAAAGAAAGTTGATGATATAGTTATAAAACACACACCTCTCTATTCACACTTTACATATGGGCATATACATGATATAAAATATACTAGTAATGCTTTTTCTGCAAAACCAAAATTCAAATAGAATTTTGGAAACTCTAACAAACAAGGACCCAAAAAGATATGGGTACCAAAGGATAACATCATCTATGTTGCATATGTCTTTAAAAGCAAGATTGAAACACCAATTTTAACACCTGGACTCAGCATGCTCTCTACACATGATGGGAAGAAAGAATATGTTCCAAAGCCCGAGATTTAAATCTGGAGGATACACAGGTTTCAGCAATCAGAAAGGAGAAATTATTGGCTCTAGAGCCATTTGTAATGATCATATGAACAAGTTTGATTCTAAAGCAAGTGTTTCGGATCTTCAGAAAATAAATGTTCAGAACTTGAGCCAAATACAAAAGAAGACATCACAAATATTACAACAATTTCTGAAGAATCCATCCAGAAAAGACAATCCAGAAGCAACTTAGCACACCCGGAAAACATGTTTCTGGAAAAGGTAGAGGTAAATAAGAAAGTAGAACAGAAGCTCCACAGAGGTATGATTGGCTCTCTAACATTTAATCCTCAGAACTTTATGTTTTAATTTTTTTGTGAACATATGAACAATAGTTCTCCATAAGTGAGAAGGAAAGTTGTATCAGGATCTATCTAGAAGATCTGAACATTCTCAAAAAACGTTTCATTTCTAAGATAGATGAAAGAAGTTCACAATATCAACTTCTGTCAACTCTAATCACAAGGTCACCTCTAAGGCTGAACACATGTTCAAATTCTGAAGGGACTGAAACGGTTGAGTTGATGCATTGAGTCTCGAGTCAAATCAGTAATTGTTCCATATCTTTGCTATCCTTCTTTCCAGGAATCATTAAATGCACGTAATCATTTTTCTTAATTCCTTTTCTTTTTAATTTATAACTGCTATTTTTTGTTGGCTATTTATACTTCACTCTTTCACAAAAACTATCATATATTCACTCTCACTCACTTTTCTCTCTTCATATGTTCATCCTTCAAAAACCCTAAAAGAGTATGTGTGAACAAATGGCTTCCTCTTAACAAATTTCTCAAGTTTCTCAAACCATTCCCGGTTCTTCTCCTCAAATGAAGAAAGGTACATCGAACCCTCAAGAAATCTTCTCTCACCCATTGATTCTCTGGAAGTTCTTTGTGAGCTTATTGTTGATTTCGTTAGCATGAAATAAAATGGGTATGACTTAACCCCTTGATGTTAAGTTCCAAGGATGGACGAAGTATTTTGATTGCCTCATAGGTCCAGTTTTTCCAAAACTTGTGAAAGAATTCGGGATCCATGCCATAGCTTCAAATCATCAGATAACATCCTACATTATGGGAAAGAAGATCATCATCACTAAAGATCTCATTAGGAAACTCATAGGTCATGATGGTGGTGGTATTCGATGCAGTGATATGGAAGACACAAGTTCTGACCTAACCATAATCTCAAAGGAAATTTTTACTTCTGGCCAACCATCCAACAAAATAAAAGATCTGAAGGATTATCTAAGAATTTGGTCCAAAATAATTATGGGATGCATCAATCACAGAAAGCCTACCAGCTCCCCAGACTACATTAACATAGACCAGCAGTACCTTCTGTACTTCATCGCCACCAAAGTTAAAGTTCATCTTTCACATATTTTATTCAACCATCTGAAGACTAGTTGTCATACCCCAAATTTTTACCTAAGATCCCATCTTCATTTGCATTTTTCTTATATACATCAAGGTCACAAAATATGGCCAATTTCAAATTTGTCACCTTCGAGCATTACCTGTGTAGAGATTATCGAGTGTTATTAACATTTTATCTTATGCATGACTAACTTCTAATCAAGCACGAAGTGTATGTTTTTTTTCTTTGATTTCATGTGCAGAAACAAGTCTAAATCAATAGCATCAGGCGTCACGCCTCAATTAGGGTTTTGAGTCTCTCAAGCCAGAAGTACAGTTGATCATTGATTCTCGAAGACTGATTCATCAAGAGAATCGTGTATTTATTTCCACGCTCTGTTTCAACAAGCAACCTCAAGCGTCTCTGAAATTATTTAAAGAAACAATCAAGGTTCCATAATCACTGGTTCACGTGTGTTTTACCTTGCCTTGAAATACAAGAAAAGATCAGGCTATGCAAGTCAATTCCGAGCACTTCGACCAAAAGTCATCTGCAAGTTTTCTTTAAAAGTTGAAGACAAATCATGTTTAGAAATTCATGAAAAGACTTTATAGGACGTTTGTCATGATTTAAGAGTTTCTTGATCTCTAAGTTCAGTTCACCGTGCCAATTTCTCAATGCGATAACATTTCACCTCAAATTCCTCTTCTAGTGATCATTCAAAGCTTTTAAGTTTGGTTCGATTTCTTATACTTACACGACATGGGGAGAATTTCGTTAGAGTGGGGTGATTGAATTCAAGATCGCTTTGGAAGAATATATTTAGAATACTTGGAATTTTCATCGTGTGAATTCAAATGTTAATTAAATAGAAGTTATCAAAAGGGCTCATTCAAGAATAATCGTTCATCACATTAATATTTATTCAAGATTATTTTTGTGTGATTACTTTGATGGATTCCCACCATGGCCATTTGAATTCACATGAGGCATTTATTAAAGGAGATATTGAAAAGAGAAACTTGATTCAAGTAATCATTCGCCATAAGAATAAATACATGATGGTTACAACTTCATTACAAGATCCATTCATGTAATTCATTTGGATATCTAATACAAGATGCAAGATTGAGGTCTTAAGGCTTGCATTATTGTTTATTCATCATTCAAAAATTCATTCAAGTATCAATCAATTCTTTTCCAAATTCAAGTTGAAGATTTTAAATTTCATCAAGACAAATAAAGATTCAAAGTGTTTACAATTACAAAGGAATTGAGAGAAATATATTCAAGACAAGTTTCCATTCAATGTTACATAAAAAGTTAAATTCTAGACCTATTGATATTTTTTAAAGCTTTAAATCTTACCCCATTTTCCAGCCATGTTCAACAATACAAATCAGCTCCAATATCATATTGCAGCCCTTACAAACCAGTACAAAAAAAATTGTAGCATGTTGCCCATTTTTCCAACCTTGTTTCAATACAAACTAGTCAAATTTCTGTGGCACTTTTGCTGTCCAAAACATCAGCCTACAAAACAATTCCAATTCTGCCCAAAAACTGCTATAAAACAGTCTGCTAACAGCCTGCTGCCCTGCTCCAACTTGCATAGAAATACCAAGCAGAATAAGACTAAAATTACACACAAATGGCTAAAGAAAAAACTGCATCAAGAAGGCATCAAAATAGTTTTTCAAATCCATTCAAATATTCTACTATTTCCCCCCCTAAATGCCTTGTTCTTTCTCTATAAAAGCCATCTTCATGGAAACAAAAATTACACAAGAAAAAACTCAAGAGAGAAAAAAACATAAAAGAGGAAGTTCGTTCAAGCATCACAACAAATAATCAAGGTATAAAGGAGTTTGAGCATCAAGGGAGAAATTATTGTTTTTTAAAGCTCCATCGGAGAGACTCCGATATGTATTTCTTCTCCCTATTTACTTCCTCATAACTTTCTCATATATCCATCAATTTGAATCTTCTTTTTGCATCACTTTTATACCATATGAGTGCTTGATTATCATACTTTTTTGATGTGTTCTGGGGCTGCTGCATTTTGTTGACATTTAAACATGTTTAAAAATTATAATAATAGTGATAAACGCATATGGAAATGTAGAGAAAAATGACGCAAATTCAGAGATAAAAATATACCTTCAAATCTTTTCTGAACATACAAACCTCATACATAAAATCGCCTCATCTCTTCCTCCACGACAACTATCCGAAAACTCACCTTAACATCGAACTCAACCTTCTTCCGATCACCATTCCTTCATCTCATAAAACGTACTCCTCTCTCCATTCGAAACCTCAGTACCGTTCACTTCTCATTTCTTGATTCTTCTCTGTCAACTAACCTTCAGTCGTCGTTGCTCTCTGTTCCACGAGATTCATCATCGTTCAACTTCAGCTTGACGTGGAAACTTCGCCTTTAATCAAAAAGAAGGGTGGATCGATAACAAGAAAAGGGAAGAAGGCATTAGTCTGTAGAAAAGGGCAGATCTATAAAATAACAAAACAAAAGAACGATCGAATTGGACTCCATTTCCTCTTCGTCTTCTCACTATATTGCCTCCAACCTTCATCTGTTGATTCACACAACATCTAACAATCAAACAGTTCTGAAAACCTTTCTTCTCAACCATCCAATCGCAGTGCTCCTGATACTTCCGATCACCTTTTTGCTTCAAACATATATCACTTGTTAATACTCCCACCGCAATGGTTCATCTCCATCATCACATCATAGAATAACACCACTCCAAACTATCACTGAACAATCATCACCTTATCATCATAGTTCCGCATATCTCAACTGCTTCCATATATCTCTGTTAAATCTCTGTTTCAATCGCAACATCACCCAACCACCACCGTGAGTGGCTACTGACACAGAATCTTCATCATCATCTCCGTCAAACTCCGAGCATCCATAACCGACGCCACTTTCAAAAAACGGCCCCAGCTTAACCGGCCTAGTCCTCGCCGTAGAGAAACCCGACTCCTTCATTGTCGACTATAACGTCCCCAAAAAGGATTTTCAATTTCAATTATGAACACCGTTAGGGTTGCAGATAAGCCGTCGAATTTGGCATACATACACAGCAAAGGAGATAACAGAACAATTTTGGACGGAACGTTGGCGTGGGACTCATCGAACAAGGTTTCAGTGAACTACGCTATTGAATCTAGGAACTGTAAATTGAAGTATAGCTATAATCAAAAGGGTTTGACTAAAATTTAACCTACCTATGATGTTGCTAAGAATTCATGGGACTTTGCAGTTTCTGGAAAAGTCTATGGTGATGATTTTGTTTGGGCGGAAAAAAAAGAACGAATGGTTGGAATGGACTTGAGGAAGATGTTGGTGTTGATACAGATAAGAGAGAGAGAGGATAATTTTTTTGTTGTTTCAACTTTTCCTTTAATTGTTTTTTATTAGAAACAATAATAATAATTTAATCTGATTTTCCTTTCCCAATGTTAACAACAAACAAAACAACGACACCTTTCTTTTTGTTTAGGGTTTCAAAAAAACTCTTCCTTGTTATTTCCCAACCGGGTCATCCCCATCCGGCCTGTTGGCCCAATCATTATCAGTATTCACCTTATATTTTAATTAGAATGTATATATAATAGATAGAAAACATAGCTTAGTGGCAAGGCCTGTATGCTCTAATCTAAGGGACTCGAGTTCAATCCCTGGCTGGGGCATTTTATTTCGTTTTTTGATTCTTTTAGCCTTATTTACCAATTATATGATAACAAAATATTAGTTTTAGTTTATTTTATATATATAATTACTTCTTTCCAATATAAAATATAAAAAAATATGCTATTAAATTAGTTTCCTACTTAATTTTTGTTATTTATTTAATTGTTCAAAATACATGCTATTATTAAATTAATCTTCTACTTAATTTTTGTTATTTATTTAATTGTTCAAAATACATGCTATTACTAAAAGTATTTTATTTTGTTTTTTTATTTATTTCATTGTTCAAAATACATGCTATTAAATTAGTCTCTTATTTAATTTTTATTGTTTATTTAATTATTCAATTGTTATTCTAAATAAATTTATTCTCGATCATTTAATCTTTATATCTATCGTCCATCTAAATTTTAAGGGAAATGTTTTAACTTTGTTGACTTCATGTCATCAAATACATCTTACGCGATTGTGTGAATCCCTTCATTCATTTTTTATTTTACTATTTTGTTAATCTTAAGTTAATTTTCCTAAAAAAAGTCAATTTTAAAACTCACACCTTTTAAGTCAAAACTTTGACACTAGATCATTGTATCTTCAAAATCTCGCCCACACCCATTTTAATCAAACAAACCATTTTAATCAAACAAACAATTTTAACCAAAAACAGATATTTCAAAAGGTTCCCGCGGAGTACCGCAGATGCATTGGGTGCTAGTACCTTCCCATTGTAAAACCAACCCCTAAACTCTAGATCTCTTTCAAAAAACACATGTATTTTCATTACTTTTTAAGTATTACTTTACATTACATATTTAAGTGTTTTATTTCTCTCTTTTCCCTTGGAAATAATAAAGCGCGATGGCGACTCTTGCTTTTGCGAGTCGAGTTAATTAATAGCTCAATCTCCAATACTGCTACATTTTTTATCGCTACAGAATTGGAGACTCTGTTGGGTAAATATTGACCTCTTGATGGTCCATCCATAAGTGGGTTAAGCCTAATTTTTCATATCTATTTTATTATTATTTATTTGTTTGATTATATGTTATATATTGTGGTTATTTGGGTGTTGATGATACTTATAAAGGACAATTCCTATACACGGACTAAGTTACACTTAAGAATAAGACGAGAGGTATATTCATGTTAACTTTGAGGGAGTAATCCCGAAGAAAGAGGCATGAAATCCCCCACTCAGTGGAAACCCCTTTGACTGTAGTATTCGTTTACCAAATAACTGGGAAGATGTTACTGCTTTCGACCTGGGTTCTAGAGAAGCTGAGAACCGTAGAACCCTTAACCCATCTTGGCCTCTTAGGTGTAGTGCGGAGACTATAACGGAGCAATACGAAAGTAGTTGTCATGAGATGCTACACTCAGATGAGTTTATCTTGAGAATATTGCTAATTACCGAGTAATCAAGATGTTGGTAATATCCGAAGAAGGATTGTAGACTCTGGGAACTTTTAGAACCTTATTTTACATGTGTGATTAAACCTTTAGTACATACCTTGGGGGTGGTCTTTACCTTTGACTCCATGCTCGTAGAGTTGAACCTTTGAACCCCCATGTTTATGAACTTATGTGTAATTGTTGCATTATCATTCATTCATGCACCCATAAGAATTATTTAAACATTTTTTTCAAGGAACTTAAGAATGATTTTTGCAGACATCTCAGGTACTTTTACCATAGATTTTGGAAAAAGAAACACTCGGAGTTACAGTTTCAAGCATACTGAGATTGAAAAGTTTGATTCCCAAGATTGAGAACCTTACAGATTTATGAAAGAAGTATGGATCTATTATTCCTCTTATAAAGCGCAAGATAAATGAGGGTATCCTTACTACGTTGGTACAGTTTTGTGATCCGTTGTATCGATGCTTCACTTTTCCTGATTACCAGTTGATGCCCACTTTGGAAGAGTATTCTTATATACTTAGTTTACCAATCACTGACTGTGTCCCTTTCTCCGGTTTAGAAGGGGGACCTAAATCTCATGAGACAGCAGCAGTTACCCACTTGAGGAAGTCTGAGATAGAATATAACATGACTACCAAGGGAGGAATCTGAGGCTTACCTGTAGAGTTTTTGTTGAAGAAAGCTCGTTACTTCGCCGAGATAAAAGATACTGTCACCTCTGAAGTTGTCATTGCTTTACTTTCTTATGGGTTGTTATTGTTCCCTAACATTGATAAGTTCATGGATATCAACGCCATTAGAATATTTTTGATTGGAAATCTAGTCTCTACGCTTCTAGGAGATACCTTCTATTCCATCCATCTTCGGAATTCCTACCAAGGTGGGATGATTATCTATTGTACACCATTGTTATACCAGTGGTATGTTTCCCATTTACCCAGGTCTGATGTTTTTTGGGATCTCAAGAAGGAGCCACGATGGACGCCAAAAATTATGGCTCTTACTCATTCAGACATTGATTGGTATAATAAAGCTTATTATGATGTAAAGATCATTGATATTTATGGTGCTTTTCCCAATGTGCCTCTTCTTGGTACGAAGGGAGGAATTAATTACAACCCTGTTCTTGTGCATCGCCAGTTTGGATACCCAATGAAGGATAAGCCAAACAACATTCATCTGAGTGGTTTCTTTCTCCAAGAAGGAAAGGATCACAAATCAGCTAAGGAGGAGATTGAAAGGGCTTGGTGCCATGTTCATAGAAAGGGAAGAGACATGTTAGGGTAGAGAGGTGTTGTTTCTTTGGAGCCTTACGATCAATGGGTTTGTGTTAGGGATTATGTTCTTAAGATGCCTTATTATCATGAGAAACCTTTATTCCCTGTTGCTACACCATCATCTACTACCATTCATATTGAGAACATGAAAGAGTATCTGGAAAATCTGGCTAGAATGGAGTCTGAAAGAGATGCTTGGAAGGAAAAATATAGTATGTCAGAATACGAAAACAGGGTCCTGACACGACACCTAAAGGAGAAGGAGGATATGATATTTATTAAAGATGGTTGGTTTATTGATCGTGATGAGAAGCTTCGTCAGAAAGATGTATTGCTCAAGAAATATGCTAAGGAAAAGAAGAGGAAAAAGGAATATTTGGTAGGAGTTACTCTTGTTCCTAATCCATAGAAGAAATTTGTTAATCAACTGATAGCCGAGAAGACAGAGATGGAAGATTTCTATGAAAATAAGATTAGGAAGCTCAAGTTACAAGTAGCATTTGGTCCTTCGTCCAATGATGATTCTGAGTGATCATAGTCCCTAGATTTTATTACTTATGTCATTTTGTAAAACTCTTTAAGAGGGCTTTTATGTTCCAAAGTTGTAATTTTCTGCCTTTTATTATTGAAATGAGTTTTGTTGTTCCAAAATTACTTTACCATTGATGTTTGCAAGTTATCAAAGTCGTAAAGTTCCTTAAAAAACTGTCAAAAATAAAAAATAATTTGTATCGCATATCATGCATCATTCAACATTCAATCTTACATGTTTTCTAGAGTCTTATTCTTGCTTCTTTTTCCACTCCGATAAATTATCAAGTTGTTTCACCAGTATAATAATCGAGCCAATCTTCGAAAGAGAATGGAAGATCTAGAGCAAGAAAATCATGAGCTTCGCGAGGAGGTTACTACTCTTCGTATTGGAATGGAAAAATTGACCGCTTTGGTGGAAAGCTTGATGGCTTCTCAGAATCAGCCATCGACTTCGGCCACTGAAGCTTAAGCTCAAACTACTGCGGTTTCTGATTTCGTCACTGCTCCAACCTCTTTGGCTCAAGTCAACCCTACGCAACATCAAATGCCGAAAGGTTTTCCATGGGGTATGCCTTACAATTTCACGCCAGAAGGGTACCAGCCTACTGTGCAACCCATAATTCAACCTATTGTATCTTTTCCTCAACCTGGGATAACTACTGTGCAACCTGTAATCCAGCCTATGGTATCCTTCCCTCAGCCTGTAATGACTAATACCGCTCCCTTGGTTCACACTATTCCATATACAAATGAACCCATTTATCATCTTGAACCTACTGGAAGTTTAGGCATCTTTGATAGGATGGAAGAATTCCAAGACCAATTCTAAGAAATGCAGAGGGAAATTAGAGCACTTAAAGGGAAAGACTTATTCGGGAAAAATGCTCATGACTTGTGTTTGGTCCCAAACGTGAAAATTCCAGCCAAGTTCAAAGTGTCAGACTTTGAAAAGTACAAAGGTGACTCATGTCCGCAAAGTCACTTGACCATGAATGTGAGGAAGATGTCCACCTACTATGATGATCACAAGCTATTAATTCACTACTTCCAGGACAACTTAACTAGTACCGCCCTAAAATGGTACATGGGTTTGGATAGCACCCGAATCCGTAACTTCAATGACCTCAGTGAGGATTTTGTTCGTCAATACAAGTATAATGTTGACATGGCCCCGGACCGAGATCAACTCCGATCTATGTTCTAGAAGGATAGAGAATATTTTAAAGAGTATGCCCAAAGGTGGCATGAGGTTGTCGCTCAAATCTATCCTACCCTAGAAGAAAAAGAGATGATGGA